GAGAACATGGAAGGAAGGAGGGGTGGGGGGAAAGTGTTTTTAAGACTGTTTTATTTCTCACTCTTTGGCTCTTATGCTGTTAGTAATAAATATAAGTACTATCCCCACTTTGAGTCTGTTTTGCCCATGAAGGTAATCAGTAAGTGACCTGTCCCAGCTGTTATCTCTACTCATGAATCCTTAGCTGGTTTGTTTTTTTTTCCTCTCTCCTCTGTGCAGTTGCAGAGGGAGAGTGAGAGAGTGGTTTTAGCGGGTACCTGGCATCTTCCCAGGGTCAACCCACTACAGCAGGATAGGGGAGATCCACCGGCTATTAAAACTACTGGATTCTCTGATCTCACGGCTTCTGTGCAGAAGGCAGCTTGTATAAAAGCTATGTATGAGAGGGATAGGCTTGGAAGGTCTCCCATGTTAGCCTCTATTGATCTGGCCAGATTAATCTCTCTTATTTGAGGTCTTCCAGACAGTCTCAAGACTTTTGTAGCAAAATTTCAGGATGGAATGCAGGAGGTTCATGTCCAAAATGCCACAGTTCCTAGTCATCTGGGGGGCCGGGGGCAGATGATGTGTTTAGCTACCTTGAGTAAATCTGTTCAGGAAATAGTGAATTATGGATGCTGGATGGGATGGGTCAGATAACTGTTGTTAAAGCTCCTGAGCCTGCTTGGTGGATATTAGGAGTACAGTGGCTCCAAGGAAAATACCCTGAACCTTCTATTGATATTCCAGTCAGATCTTGAAAAATTATGGTTGAATTTCTAATTGACTCAGGGCCCAAATATTGGTAATTACAAAGGAAATAGCAAATATTATGGGAATTATACCCAGTGATCATAAACTTAAATTTAACGAAATTGATGGTATAATAAAGGAATGTCCCACAGCAAAAATTTCCATCTGGCTCCTGGGGGAAAAGCATTTTACTAAGGTTGAAGTGTTGTGGGGTCCACCCAAACAAAACTTTTAGGAATTGATTTACTTTATGGGCAAACCTGGAAACTCCCAGGTGGAACTCTGTGGAGTTTCTCAGTAGAAAGCACTGGGTTTCTGGGAATACAAATAGAATCTGAAAGAATGTTGGATGATTCAGGCTCTGAAAATTTTATCAGTCTATTAGAGGCATCAATACCATTGCTGCTTTCTAAAATTACTCATGTAAAACAGCACCCCTTGCCTACAGCATCACTTAGAGGGACTGATGGGGTGGTGACAGTTCTGGAAAAAAGAGGCATCATTAAAAGGACTCATTCACCTTATAATTCACTGGTGTGGCCAGTAAAGAAATTGACCCGGCACTGGCATTTCACAGTATATTGACAGTTAACTGTTAATATTGCACCTTTAACTGCTGCAGTTTCAAACACTGCTGAGACAGTTATATGAGGGGGCTGCTCATGCTTGGATGGCTGCCCTAATTTTCAAGGACATGTTTTTCATGATTCCCCTCCTTGAATAGGATAAAGCACAGTTTGCCTTTACATGGAGTGGGATCCAATACACTTTTAATAGGCTTCCACGAGGATATAAACATTCTCTCATTATTTCTCACAATACCTTAGCTAAGGTCTTAGTAGAGATTCCTATTCCACCTGACATTACATCATATCAATATATTGATGACAAACTGATGGAGGAGATGATCAAGAAAGTATAGGAGACACAATGAAAAACATTTGTGAAACACTAATTGAATTGGGATTGGAAGTTATGGAATCAAAATGCCAAGGACTGGCACAAGAAGTTAAATTCTTAGGAGTCTGGTGGATTAAAGGAGTTGCTTCTGTTCCTTTGGACACCCTGGAAAAAATGGAGCACAGGCAGAATCCATCTAGTGTAAAGAAGTTACAGGAAGTTCTGGGAGCTTTAGGCTACTGGCGTAAACATATTCCTGGATTTTCTATTATTGCTCATCCCTTGTACAATCTGCTCAGAAAAGGAAAATTGTGGGAATGGATGGAACAGCACCCAAATGCATTAAAATTGTTAATAAGAGAACTGAGGCTGTTCCAATAGCTTAGTCCTATACACCTGACTGACCCTATCCATGTAGAATGGAGGTTCAGTGAGCACAGCCGTCATTGTAACTTTTGGCAAAAGGGGCCACAAGGTCCAGAAAGACCACTGGAGTTTAGCTCCCACCCTTTCAGTGATGCTGAAATGAGATACTCGTATCTTGAGAAGGCTTGTGAGCCTTCTGGCGTGAGCGATACCAGGTGGATTATACCCTCAATCCAACCTAACATTGCCAATTAACAACAAGATCGAGCATTTGTCCACTTTTTGTCTTAATAGGATGAACTGCATGTGGAATGAAGCACTGTCATATACAGAGCTAGAGTGCCTGCAAGGATTGATGGTGGTTTTGGTGTTAGTACTTGTACTCTTTGGTTTTGTGATAATTTGGAAACTGAAATTCTTATCATAATGCAGGTAAAATACCGTTTACTATTCTTACTGTCAATAGACAGAAGTTCAGGTATCACTCCAAATCTTATGTTGCAGTAAATCCAAACTTTTGGATGTACACATAATGTTAGTCAAATCACCACGTTTACCTTTTCCTCCATCTGCCAACTCACCAGTAACTTGGGGAACATTCACTATGGATTTGACCAAAACTTTTGAGGTTATGTGGAAAAAACACACAAATCTGACTTGGCAAACTGAGGAAGGAAAAAATGTTTTAAAGTGGACCAACAATAATACAACTATATGGAACTGTAACATCACTAAGCCATCATTGAAATTCGAGACTAATAGTGACACGATTGAGACAATTTATCTTCCTCCTGAGGATACATGTACTGATACACTATGGGAAATGCATATTCCCCGGGTGTGGGGAGGGCCACAATGCAGTGACTGCATTATATGCAACCTACCAACTGGTGTATTGATTGGGAAGGAACAATTGGATTACCAGATGACCTCATACAGGCTGATGTTCTGGACACAGATTTTAATGTTTCTTGCTCAAACAGCCCGAAATATCATAATTGGAATTGTACCAGAGTTTACAGTTGCAACTCCAATGAAACTGAAATTCAGAGATTGGGTTCAGCATCTCAAGATCTCAGATTACGGTATATTTGTTGAAACTATATCATACCACTCAATGACACTTGGTCTCATTTGACTAACAATGATACTGAGCCTGACATAATTTGTTCAGAACTAGGTATACCCTCATGGGGCACACAGTATGGGTTAGCAGTGATGGAACATGGTCTACTGAATTATTAATAGAAGGCTGGCAACACCAACACGTTCTGGGACTATTAACACTTTGCCCCCTTTGGAGGAAGCAACCTCTTTCACTGGCTCTGTGGGGACAACTCAAAAGGGAATCAGAAAACCAATGGCAACACCTGACAGCTGGAACCATGGTGGGGTGGGTACTAGAATCAGTTTTCACACCCCAGTTGATGGCATTCCAGAATTGAATGATGTTATATAATTTTACTGGACAAATCTAAGCATTGGCTTAATGCAACTCATGCAGGACTGAAGGAATTAAATTGACTAGGTTCTAATCAGAAATTAAGCCCAGCTGCACCCAGCCCCTCTGAGAACCAACTGGAACCAAGGGGGCTTTAGTTTCTGCTAAATTTCTATACCCTTAATGCAATATTTAGCTTGATTTTGGACCTTTAAAATATACTAAGAGTATTATGGGTTTTGGCTTTGTTCTCTGTAGTGTTTACATATTGTCCCAAGGGGTGTCTTCAGTAAGTTTTGAGTTGTTTGGGTTTTTTTGTTGGGTTTTGTTTGGTTGGTTTTAGGGTTTTGTTTGTTTTTTGTTGATTTGATTTTATATGTATATATATTTATTTTAATATTCCATGCCACATAAGTCAAGAATAGCAATATTGACCAGAACACATCTCAAGACAGACTCCTGTAAGTCTAGACTTGGAGTGTCTTTCCAGATTGAATGACAGCACAGGTAACTACTCCAAGATCCATGAATCACAAGGCAATTCCATTTAGGCTGCATCTCTTCAATTTGCTTTGAAAAACCCTCCAAGACAGCATCCAAAACCTTGCTGCTGCTAAGATATACACATTAATTCCTTCAGTCATACACTCAGTGAATTATCTTTTAGGGAAGCAAATAAGACTTACTACTGTTTTTAAAATAATTCAAGTTGTCTTTTATCACTGTTATCTTCTATATGCTTACATACCAACTGGTTAGTGGTTTGTTCCAGTACCTTACATTTAGGAAAACAATGCTGGTGGTTACTTATTTTATTTTTTCCACTCACCTACCCACCTTTAAAATATTGGTGACATTTACCTTCAAGTTGTTTTTAATTTCCCCCTCCCTAACACAAATTCCTATAGATTTTGAGAACTTCTAAAGCAGTAGCTCAAAACTGTCTCAGTGAGTTTCTTGAACACTTTAATACAAGTGTCTTCTGACTTTACCAATTTAAATAATTCCTTTCCCGTTTCAGCCTGTGTTTGTCTCTCCATTTGTACAAGTCGTATCTGGCCACAACTGACCTTTCCTGCAAAGCAGTGTTAATTGTTATAGCCCTCTGTTACTTGATCTCCTTTCCTACTCAGTAATGGAATTCTGCTTTCCTTTGTTGCTATCTTCTTATACTCTTAATGAATCTTTTCTTTTTGCCTTCTACTTCTCTCTGGTTGTGAATCAATTTCTTCCTTAAACTTTACAGTTTAGCTCTAGTGGTTTCTATACTTACCCTCAGTTGTGTAGCTACATTTCCCCTTTTTGCTTCATTCTTTTTATAGATCCTCAGGTACTTACAACCTGTTGCAATCATACTTGTTTCATATTATCCTTTCCTCCAACTCTAATTTTCTCATATAGTAGATCAGAAATTCAATTTCACCCAACCTTAACTGAACAAGCAAACCTGAAGAAAACACTAACTTGCTTTAACTAGTACCACAATAGAGTTTACATCCCAAATATGTCATTGTTTCTTCATTATACACATGAACACCAAAATGATTTAGAAGTAATTTACCCAGTTCATCCCAGAGCTGCCTATACTTGTCAGTCATTGCAGTTCCTTGCTGTGTCCAAAGGGACAGACGAGGGTCAGCCATGAACTGTTCTGTTATCAACGTCAACATGCGAGCTCCATTTGAATCTCTCATCTTTAGCATCTCTCGCACCTAGGAAATGAGTCTTTTAATACAAACTTGAAAAAACCCCAAAACAAACCACAATACAGACAATATACTGAAGTGTTAAACATTCCATCTCTGTTGAATAAGTATAATTTATATATCTGATTTGAAATTTTTAAGTAGAAAAAAATAGTCTACCTTCCCAATTTTAACAATTTTTAGTTTCAGTATCCTATTGCAATTCTGCAAACATACGCCTTCCACAAGTAATCCACAGGTATATTATGCCATCTGCTGCAAAACCATAATCTCTACAGGTTTCTCCAACATTTTGAGGGTAAGAAGGAAGAGAACAACAGTGCTGCAGACAGTTGAAATGTTACTTCGTTTCCTTTAAACTAATCTCAAGACACACCAGATTGCGTTCCATTGCATTGTTAACTTGCCATCATGTTCCCAGGGCTTTGTCTTGTTTTAAAACAACAGGACTTTGAGTAAGACCTGAACAAGTACAGACTGGATGCGGGAGTGAGGGGAGAGAAAAGAGGGAAATTTGAGCACACAACATACCTTTGCAAAAAGCAAATTGAGCTGCTTCCCTGATCCATGGTATCCACCCTGGGAGAGGAAGAGTTTAACCTGTTCTTGGACCTGTTCCTCATCCAAATGCCAGCAGTTTTCATCATCTATGCTGGCACCTGCTGTTGGGTCAGGAGCACCTGGAAACAGCAAGATAAATTGTTATGTTCTATATAAACAAGAGAGGTTTGTGGGGCCAGGGGAAAGGAGTACTGCAAAGGTTTTTGGATTTGTGTATTGCCCCATTTTGGATGTTTTTACTTTAATCTAAAGTTCTTTAAAATAGACCTAAATTTCTCCTCAGTAGTCTTAAGCTCTTAAAAATGGCAGATTATGAAAAAGTATTTAAATAAAACGTATCTATAATAAAACATTAAAATCAAGGTGAGTTTTTTTCCTCCTGCCTCAGCAGTTATTCCAGAATGCTTTTACAAAGAAAATTACACTTTACATAATATTTCAACAACTGCAATGTTAAAACCTTTCTCCCCAGAACACTTATGTAATTTCTATACCTTCAGCAATCTTGCTCAGTTTTAAATTACTGCTAATGAGCACTGCTATTGATGAACATGAGAAAAATCACTTCAGTGCCTTTGAGCTGTGATGGCTTTGCAAAGATAAACAAAGAATAAAAAATAATCCTCAAACAAATCCACAGTCTTTAAGTACTAAAGGCATTAACATAATAAATAAGTTACATCTGTGTAAGATTGTGGTGCTTCTGAAGGAACATTTTTACATAGGCAATGTCATCAGCATAGAGTCAATTCAGAGCAACTCTACCTGAATTAGCCTAGTGCCAACTGAAGTGACTGGATTTACATCAGGTAGTGCTTTGACCACAGGTTGCTCTAACTCAAATTTTGCAGTTGAGATCAGTAATTTTCCCCTCGTGGTCTTTTCTAAAGGCTGACAAAAATAAAACCAGTTCTTGCAGTATCTAACAATCTACATTTTTCTGAAGAAGCCTGCACCTTCACTGGATATTTTTAAAAAAGTATTATAACTGAAAAGGTTGAAAAGCACTTATCTAGACTGTCAGGGAAACATCTCATGGCATTGCATCATCATACTCAGATGTGTGTAAAAGTCATTTTAAGCATGCCTAAGGCTTAAGTTTATTTGACATTTTGATTTTGGGCTTGTCCCAACTGTGTAATCTCTATCTCTGTTAGGTTTTGAGAAGATGTTAGAAATTGAATTTCATAACACAATTTATCACTTTTAAATCCCAGATCATGTTACCTTTGTAGCCAATACTAAAAGATCCAAACTCCTCCCTCTAAGCAATTATAAATCTGAACTTAAGAGTCTCCAATTGAAGGAAAAAAAATTATGGAAAAGGAAAAAAATCAGCCCTTTATTAAAAAGTATGTGTGTATTGGCAGAAACAATGAGGGAAAACAAGTAAAACAACCAAACAATACTCCTATACCCACAGATAATCCCCTTCAAAACAAACCAATAAACGAACAAAGAAAAAAAAAGTAAACAGTTCAGTTTACACCCTTTGGTGCAATTCTAACCACAGTCAACAGGAGGCGCTGTTGGGTAACTGGAGATGCAGAGCTTGTAGTGTCCTGTGCCAGTTACCAGGTGGTGCTGTTGGATCACTGGAGATGCAGAGTCTGCAGTTCTTTATGCTGACCAGCAGGGGGTGCTGTGGAATCGTTGGTCGTTGCCATGTGGGGGTAACACCCTCTGGGGTGTGTTAGAGAAACCAAAAAAAAAATGGGTTTCGCTCCCCTCCCCCACACACTGGGAAAGGGGAGAGAGAGAGAGGGGGGAGAGAAACAACAAAAAAGGTCCTCTCCAATGGGAAAAAACAAAAAAACTCACTCTGTTTGGCTGGTCGAATCGTGTAGCACAGTCCTTCCTCTCCCCCTGATGTGCACAAGGACCACGGCCAGGAAAAAAAACAAACGGGGAAGGGGAAAAACTTCTAGAAAACAACTCCTCTCTGATGAAAAATCCAAGCAGGATCCACAGTTGGCAAGTAGGCCGAGAACAACAGGAACCACTGAGCTTCCACTCCAACTTTGTTACTTTGTTCCAGCCTCCGCAGCCAGCCCCAAAAACTCCTACCCCCTCGTTTCCCAGGAGACGAGAGAAAAAAGTAAAGAGGAGCCCCTCATCCCCCGTTTCCTAGGAGACAAAGTTTTGAGCAATTAACCAGAAAACTGCTTCTTTTGTGTTCCTTAAGTGCCCACTTCATAGCTCTGCAGTGGGCAGGGGGAAGGGAAAAATTCCTACTTTGTTTCTAAGAACCAGTAAAACCATGACATTGATAGATTCTTTATTCAATGAAAATACAACTGGAAGATTTAGAGGGTCAGAGGGATGTCTTGTCTACTAGTTGTTAAGAGAGTAAAAAAAAATATTCCAGCTCAGGAACTTCCTAAACTGCTTCCAACATCAGAGCCTACAGCTGTGAACAATGCACTGCTGTCCACATATTTTTTTTTTAGATTAAAAAGTAATTATGTCTTTGAAGATATGAAAGAACTCTTCTGCCTTCCATGGAAACCATAAGACTGTCTCAGAAGATGGGAATCAAGCCCAAGATGGTACAAAACCTGGAGGACACTGAGGTGACACCTCATCACAGTCTACAGCTTTCTCATGAAGGGAAGAGGAGTGGTAGACACTGATCTTGTCTGTGTTGACCAGTGACAGAACCCAAGGGAACGGCCTGAAGTTGTGTTAGAAAAAGGTTCTTCACCCAGAGGGTGGTTGGGAACTGGAACAGGCTCCCCAAGGAAGTGGTCACAGCACCAAGCCTGTCAGAGTTCAAGAAGCATTTGGACGATACTGTCAGGCATATGGTGTGACTCTTGGGAATGGTCCTGTGCAGGGCCAGGAGTTGGACTTGATGATCCTTGTGGATCCCTTCCAACTCAGCGTATTCTGCAATTCTGTGATTCTGTGAATGGGAAACTTGACCTTCTGTGAGTGCTTCCATCTTTACTATGTTAGTTTTACGGGGGCTTACATTCAATCAGCTACATGTAACACATGCTGATTAATCTTCGATTTCAAACAACTAAGATAAAAAGGGAAATCAAGCCGCACGAGATGAAGCAGTGCAGTTGCTGAACAGATACAGGTTTGCAGTATCACCTTGCACAAAACACACATATTTATCCCGCACTTCAAAGGAGATTGTTTTGTATATTTCATTGCTCTAAAACAGAGAAAAGACCTGTGAAAAGGAGATATATAAGAGTACCAATATACAAAACATACATATTTATCCCTCACTTCAAAGGAGATTTATCTTAAAATAATCTTGGTATGGCTACTTTTAACTTTTACTGAAAATAACCTAAGATTTCTCAGGTCAGTTTCCCTATTTGGGGAAAAACCACCAAAATTCCTTCCATAACTGTTTAGATTTTATTAAAAGCTCATCAATCAGTTTGCGCTAGAAGGCTAAATTTCAACACAGCTACTGCAGATTCTTTAAACAGGGTTCCTTTACAGGAATAAGGGAGCCCACTGCCACATGCCAGCAGCACTGCCCCCACCAAGGCCTCTTCTTTCAGCACAATCCCAAATATACCTTCCCCAGGGTATATGCTATACTTACACCAGTGTTATTTTTATGCCACTGAGTAAGAAGACTGTAAAAGCTTAAGACACCAACATGAGGGTCTGAGCTCTATGATGCTATTCAGCACAGTACTGACTCAGAGCAATATTTCCTCACAAGATTGTATATAGGTTACACTTAGTATGATCAAAAATGTTTAACCAGAATGTATAAAGAGCCTTCAGTATACATGTAACTGGCACCAGCTATGGTTTGTAATTCACTTATCTTTCAACATCATTGTCAGTCTTCAGCAATATCCATGAAATAACAAGGCAAGGAGATGGCATGTCAGATTGGGCACAAGTCCAAACCCCATTTGCAGCCCTGGCAGCAGCCAGGCATCCTGGTGTTACTGCCAAAGAAGCCTCAGCTCCCACTGCTTGTGTCATTCTTGTTCTGGGGTTGAGGCATGACCATCTCCACATCTCTCAAATAGGCACTTTTCAAGTTCATTACATTCACTTAAGTCGTTAAGGAAACTGTCCTATCTGACCATTCAGATGAGACTATGACAGTCACACTCACGCCACATGAGACTTTAACTGCTGGGACTGAAGCCTCTTAACAGCGGGTGGCTCCAGTGAGCCAACAGATGCCCTGTTTTACTCCTTACACACCCCACACTCACACAGTCAGACAAGGTTTCCTTACCGGCTCCACCCTTGGTTTCCCATATGTCCTAGTTACAGGGGCTGAGACCAGTTTATCACAATGTGGGTATAACAAAAATTGTGTATTCTACACCCGCTGTGTCATTTCTGATGGACTTTTAATAAATGAATTGTTTTCAGCAGCTGTTCAGGGCACACCTGACACCTCAGGCTACAAACTGGGTGTTAAAGAACCCTGTAAGGCACCAGAGTGTGTTCTTTTGTTTTCACACCAATGACTCAGATGTGATAATTCCCTTCCAGGGAGGCATTAGCACCTTCATACCCAGCCCGAGGGGTCATCTCTGCTAATGGGCCATATTGGACTGGCATAATAGGCACCTGCAACCACCTAGACCATCAAAGACTCCAAAAATATCTCATGACTCACAGAGTTAAATCACCCATTGTGAAATTCCCTGCCCTGGGGGAGGTACCAGACATTCCCACCTGAACCTGAGCATATGTAATCTTTGGGTTTTGGGGCTTCTGGTACCACTTGTCAGATCCAGAGGAGGATCAGAACTTCAAAAGGACTGTGACTTCCACTCTCGATAAGACTGCAATCATTACTTCAACAGAACTGTGACCAACATCCAGACCAACAGGTTTTCCTTTCCTTTCACTGTGCACCCAGGGGGGTCATGTGGTGCTCAGCACAGGGGCTAATGAACACTATTCTGTTCTTGTCCCAGGATGCTCAGTTATACATCTGTCTTTGGGGGTTAAAACCATTTTTCTCTCATTGTATTTATTGTAATCTTTTTTTTAGTAAATTGTAACTTGTAACCTCTCTTGAGTTGGGTTAATTTCTCTCACCTGTTTACTGTTAAACCAGCACATCACATCATTGTCAGACCTCTGGTTCCTTTAAGTAATTTAATTACGATCC